TTGGGAATAATCTTCTTCAGGTTCATCTACTTTAAATCCATGTGTTGTATCTAAGTCATCAGCATTTTCATTCATCCATGATATAATCATTTCACAAAATTTTTTTCTTCCTTGTAATGACATAGTTTTTGTTCCTGGGAAAAATTGTTGAAATAAAGCAACTGTTCTTGCTTTTTCTCCACATGCCAATAAATGATGAAGAAATGTTGTTCCACTTCTTGGAAGTCCAATAACAAATAATGGTTTTTTAATTTCCATAGTTTGAATTTCTGGTGTTAATTCAATTTCTTTAATCATTCTTACACATGCCATTAACTTCATTGCAAATTGTCCACAAAATGGTAAAGAGACTTGATATGATACTAATAATGGATTAATTCCTGCAAACATTGGAATAAACCCTGTTTGAATTGGTGAACCTTTTTCAAAATACTTCTTTGTTTCTTCAATGTACTTAGAGTATTCTTCTTTTCTTGTTGGGTCAAGGTACTTTAACATTAGTATTCCTGTTTTCATAAAAATATTCCATTGAACTGAAAATGATAAATCGCTTAACAATTCAGCTCCATAAGGCGATGGATAATTTGGTTCATATAAAGCAACATTTTCAAATCCTTCAGCCATGAATGAATTTATTTTTTTTTTTAAGTTCTTATGAAACCTGATTTTTTATGATTTCTTTTTGATTATTATTTATTTTCTCTTCTTTTTTGTTTATTCTCGTATTTATAGGTCATCTCCTCGTTTTCTATTCAATTAATTCTTTTTATTATATTTTATTATTATTTTTTAACTTCTTTAATATTTTTCTATAAAAAGGGTTTTTTCCTTAAAACTTTTTTATTTCATTTTAAATTCGTCTTATGTTCTTTTTTTTTTTTATTTAAACTATATCTATAATATTTTTTATTATTTTATACTTTTTGTTGTGTTTACCGATAAGTTTTGAAATCTCATTTTTATAAAAAAAGTCAATGAATTTTTCACTTGAAATTCCTTCAACACTACTTCATTTTTACTTATTTTCTAAACTAAGAAAATGAGGAATGATCATTTAAACTAAAAACAAACTAATTATTCTTCATTTAATTAGTTTTATTTTTGATCATTTTTAAAGTAAGAATTAATATTTTTATTTTTTGTTATTCAGTCTCAAAGAAAATGAAAGAATAAAGAAAAGAATCTTTTAATAATTTTTTTCTATCAAAAAGATAATAAAATATAAGTTGTTGAAAAAAAAACTTTAAATTAAAGTTTTTTTAAACAAAACCAGGTGGTGTTTGATGTTGTTGTGAAGTATTTTGATTTGAATTTTCATTTTGGGCTTCTTCACTTAAGTGTCTTTGTAAATCTTCAACTGGCATTCCTATCATTTGAGCAATCAGACTAACCATTGGCCTTGTTGCTGGATTATTGAGTAATGAAAGAGCCATTGAGGCTATTCCATTTTGACTTCCAAACGTTCCCATTAATGAATTTATATCAACAGCTCCAGGATTTATTCCTTGACCTCCTTGAGTAGAGCCAACTAAATTACTAAGGATATTAGCAAGAGGGTTTGGTTGTTGAGGATTTGGTTCTTCATTTCTAGTATTTTGTGATTGTGCTTGTTCATTTGAATGAATTTCATGAGAGTCTTTCTTTTCTTCAGTGGTTTTTGGTATATTTTCTTCATTAGGTTGTTCTTCTTTTTTTTCTTGTTGTTGAATAGAAGAAGATGCTGGAGGTTGTTGATTTAAAATAAGACATTTAATTTGTTCTAGATTACTTTTAAAAACAGTGTTATTTGGGTCAATAATAAGAGCATCTTCTATTGCTTTTTGTGCTTCAGCATATTTATGTTTTTTTGTTAAGGCAATACCTAAACGGGCATATGCCTTAGCATAATTTGGATCCAATTCAATAGCTTTTTTTGCATCTTCAATAGCTAAATCATTTTCGTCAATTGAACAATAAGCAGCAGAACGATTAGAATAATAAACTGCTTCTTGGTTTAGTTGTATTGCTTTTGTGTATTCGTCTATTGCCTTAGAATAATCTTTAGCATTTAGATATTCATTTCCTTTTAATTTATGTTCATCAGCCTTTTTTTGAATATCTACATTTTGTTCTTTTGGTTTCATTCCAACAAAATGACATTGTTTACTGTAATGAAGATCAAAATATTGTTGAGCAGTTTTCATTTTAATTTCTCTTTGTGGTTGAGTACAGTCATTAAAAAAACCTTTTTTTTCTAGGTTAGTTATAAATTTTTGGTATAAAGGATTTGTGGTTGACATCTACTGATTTCTTTGATTTCTTTTTTTATTTTAAATTTATTAATTAAATATAGTTTAGTATAAACTATATTATAATTTTATTGTTCTTTTTTCTTTTTTCTTTGAAGTTTCTTTTATTAACTTTAAAATAAAATTGTATCTTCTTTTTTATATGCAAAGGAAAACAAAGTTTCAAACAAGAAATATACGTGTTCATGGGTCGTTATCACAACAGTCTATTTTAATGGAAACGTATAATGACATTACTAAAATTCCACCAAAAAAAGAAACACTACAAGAAATTTTTAATGGAGAAAAGGTAAAATTTATTATTTCTGATAGTTGTTCAAATCAATTAACA